CTACCGTCAGGTGAGAACGCCACGGACTTGACGTAGTTGGAATGGCCCTGAAGCAACTGTAGCAAAGCGCTCGACCCAACGTCCCACACTCTGATAGTGCTATCAGTCGATGCCGCCAACGTCTTGCCGTTCGGCGAGAAGGCTATGGCAAAGACACTGCCGAAATGGCCCTCAAGCGACTGCAGCAACGTGCCCGAGCTGGCATCCCATAGCTTTATAATCTTGTCGGTCGATGCCGACGCCAGCCGGGCCAAATCGGGCGAGAAGATTACCGAGTACACGATGCTGTTGCTGCTGGTCTCTCGAAGTCTTCCCGTGTTCTGGCCGCCTGACGTCGCTGCGCGCCGGTCCGAGTCAGTAAACGAGAATGATGAAATGCTCTGGGACGAATTATTGGCGGCTCCAACTCCCTCAGAATTACCATCACACTCGCCTTCTTGGTTATCGCCGTCTGATGGCAACACGAAAAGGGCGATGGACTCCAAATGCTCTGCAACGTGTGCCTCAAGTTGCTTCAAGCGCTTTTGCGCTTGACAGAACGGGCAGGGAAAGACTTCGGAATCCTCGACCTGGCGCTCGGAAATTTCGGAGAGGACGTTGACCTGTTGGGAACTCGTGGCGTTGGCGTGAGAATGAACAAGGTGGTGCGCGAAGTCTTCTTTGCTGTAAAACCACTGCTTCCCGTGCTCTACGCATACCCATCTACGCCGGTGCATCTGCCTTTCGTGATAGATCCAGTCCCCACGGGTCAGATACTGCTTGTCCGGGCTGTCGCAATTTTCAAACGTGCACACGTATGGCCGCAAATCTCGGAAAACGTGTCGCCTATTAGTCATCAGCATCCCGTAGAACTAGAGCGGACGACCAAAGACTGCAAGACGAGAGGAAAGACACTCACTTCCAGCTTTGGCGGCTTTTTACGGCACTAGACCGGATCTTGATGCGACAGTACGGACACTCAAATGTTGGATTCAATTCTGCTGCTTTCGGCAAGGTAGGGACACGATTAGAATGCATGTTCCCGACGGTAGTTTCCGCGTAGATAGTGCGTTGCGGTCCGGATTCGGTCTGAGCATCCAAGACATCTGTTCTTGCAACGGTTGAGAAGGTCTGCTTCGTCATGACGGTTTTCGCAACAATACTTTTGGTGTCTTCTGGAATCGCTTGAGGGTCTCGCTGCGGCGCAACAGTCACCACGACCGGGGTTTCTCCAGCCGGTGCTGCCGATTTGAGGTCTGCTACCGCAAGATCGGGAGCGGGCGGGGGTATATCAGGATGGCGAGACCAATACATGAGCTGTTCGCGCCTTTTGGTGTTGGCAACTGCCAGTCTCTCCGTGAGGAAGTACCCACAGCTCCCAGTTGCGAAAGTCGGATCCGAAGCTGACTCACTGACTGGTGCTCGAAGCTCCTCTTCGTTTGCGATCTTCGTGTCAGCCTTCTTCCATTGAAGAAGCTTCTGTTCCACGTGGCGTAAGTCAAAGAATGCATAGTGAGCAACTCTTGGGTCATGGTCGTGATTCCCAGTGGAGTGGATGTATCGTCGATTAAAGCCCGGTCTGTTCACAAGGAGCGACAGCTGGTAAAGGGAGTTGACGTCATCGGCCATGCGTTTCAGCACGTATCCAAGCTCTGGCAGCTTGTCTTCGTCTTCGGAGCCGGAAACCTCACTGCTTTCGCTCTCTGTTCCAGGTTCCGCATGTTCGCCGCGCACCAGAGGCCTTTCAGTCGACGGCTCTGCAGCGACAATGGCTGCGCTCAAGTTAGCCGTGTTCGTCCATCATCGCTTTTCACCTACCGAGCTCCAGCTTCCGCTTCAAGCGCTGAAGAGTCCTCGTCGCGATGCCCTTGAGCTTGGGATCTTTGCGCAAAGCGTCATCCAAAGAGCCTCGCGAGCTGGAAGGTAAAATGGCCCTCGTCTCTTCGCCCCATATCCGGAAGCGACCGTATATGTTCAAAGCACTCACCAGGTTAGCATCGTCACCTTTGTCTAGCCCTCGTTGGAGTAAAGCCAAAAGGCTCTTGTGAAGTTGGAGACACGCGATAAAAACTGGTGAGATCTCAATGATAACCGGTTCGCTCGCTTCTGGCGATGGAACGTCTTCCTCCAGATGGACTGCGGGTTTGGCCCTGCTGTAGCTCGCCATCAGGAGTGTTCTCTGAATTCACTGACCGAACTCGATGTTCTTTGAGCTGCGCACTCGACCGCCTGAACTCGGATTCTTTCGGTTTCGAATGCGTTCTGCACCCCGCATCTTGCTCCAATGAGGATGGACGTGGCTGTAATCATAGCGGGGTAGGGATGCTGCCAAGCCAGCTTCTCCACCAGGGCGAGTGAGCTTCGGTGGTGAGACTGTTTGTACATCTTTCATATAAGTTACTGATTTTGGAGGAAATTATTAAGTCTCCCGTTAGCGTGCTATCCATTACGCATTGAGCTTCCGCCTCACCATCGCAATATGGAAGTTGCTGGCGTCGTGCTGGGCGCGATGCCGATTGTTCTGTACGCGCTCGACAACTACAAAAGAGCCTTGGGTCCAGCAAAAAGATTCTGGAGTTGGGAAGACACGATCCAAGAAATCATAGACAACGTCATGCTTCACCAAGAGCATCTCAACACGACTCTCCGCAACATGGGCCTCCAGAACCCCAACATGGCCCAGATCGAGGCCGTCCTTCAAGTGCACCGGCCAGACAAGTGTCATTACTTCATGTCCATCTTGCGGAACATGGACGGTCAGATGAACGAGCTGCTGGACAGGCTGGAAGTGGACTTGGATGGTCAAGTACGTTTTTGGCCCGTTTTGCGAATAACACATGTTCAGCCTCGCGTTTACTTTTGCTGACAACTGCAGCCCAGATGGTCAAACCACAAGGCCGACACGGCTGGGTGGGAATGGCGACGGGTTAAAAGGAGTTTTGGAGCAAGGGACAGAAAAAATGTTTTTGAGAAGCTTCACAGGTGGAACGTTGCGCTTCAAAACTGCGGTCTGGAAAGACGAGAAATTAGTCTTGACTCCGAGCACTCCATCGTCAACCTGGTTCGTTCCCGGTTCAACGACCAAATTTGCGCCGCGATAAGGCTAAATGTCTTGGCCTTGCATCGGGCTTTGACGTTCGGATTGGGGTGCGCGTGCCTGTACCCCCATAAAGGTAATCTCGAGCTGAACTGGCACGCGCCGGACAGCCCTGCTCCATCGAAGTCATTTAGCGTTGCCATCTCCGGTGGGAAATACTCGGCCATTCAAGCTGGCCATGTGACATGGAAACTGCTGTCCGTGATGATGGAGGAGATGGTTTCCTCTGACCCGTCACAAACGAACGCTCAGTCTCCAACTCCGCCCACACCATTGCCGCCGCAGTTGCCGTCGCCGTCGCCGTCTACCCGGACGGATCCTTTGGCCAATTCGATGCCAGCTCTATCAAAAAGGCGCCGGATGGTCCAGTTCCTGAGTTTGAGTGGCGCAGAGTCAAGGAACGATCTCAAGCCGGCATCTTCATCCGGTAAGCATGCTCCTGTCGGGCATTCGAAAGTGGCTGACCTAATTCTCACCACAGACGCTTCGTCCCCAATACCGCAGGCTTCTGCAGAGCCTTTGCCACGATCAGTTCCGCCAGTACCATTAGTTGAATTATGCACAATTCTAAAGTTGGGGTGCCATGGGTCATCTGCCGATCTCTGTTGCATTCCGGTGCCAAATACAAGCTTCCGTTTCCAACTACAAACCGCTCCGAGTCCGACGATTTCGGCCGTCCCTAGGGAAACCATTTCTCTAGACTCCCTTCTTTTGAGAAAACGCAGCCCAATCACTGATCGGGAGATCCTTCTAAGGCGAAAGCAACGTTTTGGTATCGCCGCGGCGTTGACCTCGGCGGTGCTACACCTTTGCGACTCCAACTGGATCGGGAAGACGATCGAGAATGACGACATTCAGCTATTCCTCGAGTCCCATACCGGATCACCGAATCTGTCAAGGAATCCGTACCTGTTATGCAACTTCCATTCGAGCTCTTCTGGCGCTTCACAGGCACAGCAAACTCCCAGAGACAATTTTCAGAGCAAGCAGATTCAGAACTGTACTCTATACTCTCTGGCGATCCGACTTCTCGAACTAGGCTTGAACAAACCCTTCTCGAAGCTGCGACACGAGTATAGCTCCTTCGCAGCATCGGACTCAGGGGCGGAGCCACCTCCCGCTGACGATTCCAGCGTCGTGGGCGACTTTGACATCGCCAAGGCTCTTATAGTGGAGCTGGCACTGGATCCCGGAAGAACGTTCGCCGATGCAGTAGACCGATGTTTGAGGTTCTTATTTCCCGGACCTGAGCATCTCAACAACTTCAGTGAGCCTTCATTCAGAAAAACATTTTTCGAGGAAGTGGTAGCCCCTATTCAAGCCATATATGAGATGACCCCTGACTTGTGAGACGACGATGCGCTTTGGTGATCACGTGCTAGCCCTAGATATTGTCAGCCTGGCACCTCGGTTCACACGGTACACTGTGAACTGCATCTCACGTGACTCTATCAGTCACCTGCTTACTCATCCCGGTTATGTATATATTCGCTCTATATAACGTAGTTCACAAGCGAGCGGTCCAACCCAAGCGAGCGGTCCATCCCAACCATGATAGCCTAATAACTACTTTGCATTACAATGCTATCCCAACGCAACATGCAATTAACCTATACTAAAGGGACCTTACAGCTTGCTATCTAAGCTATAATTAAAGATTATAACAAGAGCAAAAGACGTGCTATTGCAGCCTTTAGTGTACCTTAAACTACTGTCTGCTAATAATGCTAAGGAGCCCTCTCTTAACGCGATTGCGAGCCTAATTTAAAGAAGCTAAGCAAACTAGGGGAGGAGGCCCTTATACAACGTATACTTGAGCTTGACACAAGAGATATACCTGCTACAAAGGCTATGGTGCGAGATATAGCCAATGATCTGCTTGCTGAGCGCGGTGGAGAGCCTGTTAGCAAGCACTAGGTAGACAACTTCAAGACGCGTACGCCTGAGATCAAGCTTCGAAGGAGCCGTCCATATGATCGCCAGCGAGCCCTTAACAAAGATGCACGCGTTATAACGCCCTAGTTTAAGCTAGTTGCCAACACAAAGGCCAAGTACGGCATCACAGACAAAGACATGTACAACTTTGACAAGACAGGCTTCATAATAGGGGTTATCTATAGCCAGATAGTCTTTACAGGCTCTAAGAAGCGTAGCACAAAGAGCCTGTAGCTAGGGAACCGTGGTTAGGTCACTAATATATAAGGAGTTAACGCCAAAGGACGGATAGGCTATCCCACCCTTCCTTATCTTCCCTGGCAAGGTCCTTATTACCTTATAGTTTTACAATCTACCTCAGGATTAGGTAATTAAGGTTAGTCCTAATAGCTAGACGTTAAATAAGCTTAGTATTGCCTAGCTGAAGCACTTTAATACCCATACAAAAGACTAGAAGGTGGGTGCACACAGGCTGCTAATTGTGGACGGCCATGAGAGCCACAGCTCACATGAATTCCACAAACACTATAAGGAAGAGAAGATTATTGTTCTCTGTATGCCTGCTCACTCGTCACACCTGCTACAGCCACTTAATGTAGGTTGCTTTTCGCCTTTAAAGCGGGCATATGGTGATAAGATCAGTAGCTTAGCACGGTACGGCTCTAAGCAGATCAAGAAGGAGGCTTTCCTACCAGCCTTTAAAGCAGCTTTTAAGAGGTTAATTACAAAGGAGAACATCTGTGCAGGCTTTAGGGGCGCTAGACTAGTTCCACACAACCTAGAGGCAGTAATATTAAAGCTTAATGTGGTCCTTTGTACGCTAACTCCACTAAAGCTAGAGGACACCCTATAGGAATTGAAAACTCTAAGCAACCTCCGTGAGATAGAGGCTCAGTTAACACTGGTTCGTGAGCGTGTACGACTGCACAGAGATTCCCTAGTTTCTCCTCTGCTTAGAGCAGTTGAGCAGCTGAACAAGGGCATTACACAGATAGGGCATGATAGCGTGTTAATGCAACAGGAAATAGCAGGGCTTTGCAAGGCAGTAGAGATAGCAACAGAGGTTAGAGGTTAAAAGAGGAAGTATATTCAGGCAGCAGAGAGTCTCACGGTAGGTGAGGTAGCTAATTTAATAGCTAAAAGGGAGGGTAGTGGGCAGCAGGGGGGTAGAGAGCCTGCAAAGAAGGTGCGCACACAGAGGCGTTGCGGACGTTGTGGAGAGACTAGCCACAACGCTCACACCTGTGCAGTTGAAATTATCAATGCATCTAATAGCGACGAGTCTAAATAGTATCTCTATCACCTGCAAATTGCAGTAAGTGGTGGTGGTGTTGCAGCATATGCATTGCAATCATCTTAACTCTGTTAGGTGGACCACTCGCTTGGGTTGGACCGCTCGCTTGTGAACTACGTTAGCTCTCTTAATACAACAACCTTCTTTTCCCTTTCTGCCTGATAAGATTGTTCTCTTTCTGTGGCTTGACCGAAAGCTCACGTGCTTCGAGCGAGTCATGAATATCGAGAACACCAATAGTGAAAGCTTAGAATGAGGCTATGCGTGTTGACTTCCAGGCGTACTCTATCTCCTGATTGCGCTAGTCTATTGTCACGGTTTTGGAGTCTTTTCTCTTGTACCACGTATCACAGTTTCAAATCTCTACTGCTGTACAACGTAGTACACCCTGCCCTTTCCTTTTACACCTCACCGCTATTCCCCTATAACAACAGTCCATGGCTACATACAATACAACCTGAGTTCAATCCTCCATTCCTTGCGCACTGCTTGTACTCACTGCGACAGTTATGAGCCCGGCTGCAACCTAGGATTGTTCTCACCTGCTGCTGCAATCGTCACTCTACTTGAGTCGCACGTTGCTATACCGCGTCTACCACAGCGCACCTGTTACCGCGTCCACCCACGACGCACATTGCCTGGATCTCTGCCTGGATCCATTCATACACGACTATAGCCTCTGCAATAGCTGCTGAGTCTGATCCCGCAGTAACGCGTGTCACTGTCATACTCAACACACCTGATGACTAGTTTACCTGGTTGTTCATTCGCCAAGACGTTGCCAACCGCTACAGTCTCTGGCAGTACATCAATCCTGACGTAGCTAGGGAGCTTCTCCCTGAGCTGACGGAGGCTACTGAGCCTCAACTCATCAACTACCAGGCTGGAGCTACTAGGCTCTCTGACCTGACTGCAGACGACCAAGAGTCTTACCAATGGGAATGTGATTAATAGGAGCGCCGCTGCTCTAAGTACCGCACCCAGAAGAAGGCCTTAGCCGACCTGAACACAGACATCAGCAAGACAATTGCTGTACGCCACATCCACCTAATCAAGGATCACGAGACACCCTACGACCAACTGGTCGCTCTTAAGAAGTTCCTTTGCCCAACCAACGCAACTCGCTGCCGCGAGCTTGCTGACAAGTACAACACTCTCAAGACTGCTCCACGAGCTGCGAAGAAGGTCGAGCAATGGCTCACCAACTGGGTGTACATCACCGCCCAGGGCAAATCAATTAAGCTGCCTGAAACTAAAGGCAACAGACCACAAGAGGACTTTCTAATCGCCTGCAAGGCACTCGATCGAGAATACGCCACGTCCTGCCTGCGCGAAATCTTTAAGCATGAAGCGCGAGGCACTACTGCAGATATCTCATCTCTTGAGACATACGTCGCCGAGATGACCACATACCTACGCCGCACGAAGCCTCAATCTACAGGCCTGGCAGTCTCTGCTGCTGAGCTCAGAATCACGAAGCCGACTAAGACTTAATCGACTGGTCGCGGTCACTGTGACGGTGCACAATCAATTCCTACCTGCGTATGTAGGAAGCAGCATTGGTACACTAACTGCTTCATCCTGAATCCACGCCACCCAGCACGTCCAAAGACCTATCAGCCTGTAGCTAAGGCCGTACGCAAGGTTGAGGAAGCGCAGAAGGACTCTAAGATCAACGCGCGCATCAAGGCTGCTCTTACAAGATGGTTGACCTGCCAACCTCAGAACACTGGATCACTGCAAGTTGATGACAGTGAGCCACCTGTCAACACTGACACGTTCGTGATATTAACTAGCCCATTACTCAAGCCTCTCCACAACGGCCACGACGGCCACAACGGCCACAACAGCCACAGCAGTCACGACAGGCACAATTAAGTTGACCACGATGATGAGGTTGTTATTGCTATTAACGCTCACACTAAGCCTACAGGATCTCTCACAACAATAGCTGTCGATGAAATCACTCAGACTAAACTACGCAATTGATAGATTGTTGATCTAGGATCTAATACGCACGTTGTTAATACAGAGGTATAGAAAGGCTGGAGGAGGACGAGTGACAATCCACAACATTGTTCTATTAACGCTGGCAATACCTGTATCCTTATCACTGCGTGGGGAACGATGGAACTCGTCGTCCGTACACCACATAGACAGCTAACGCTGGAGCTAACGCACGTCGCGTACGTCAAAGGCTTCTTAACCAGCGTCTTAGGACTCGCTCGCTGCCAATTAGAGTTGATCCACTTCAACTCTAGCCGCGACGTCCTGTACATGCATTAACTAACCAACGTCATCACACAACTTGAATACAATGGAGGACACTAGCTGATTGATGCTGAGCCATCACGCCGACCGCCGCTGTCGCTTCTCCACTCACCGCTGAGTACGTTTAGGGCATCATATTGCCCATCGTACGCGCCAAAGCCTGCAAACGTTGTTGATTGACGCGATGCTCATCAAATCTGGGGCTACCTAGGTTAAAAGGCAGTCGACCAGCTTGAATTAAACGTTACTGGCGTCTAACTGACAGGAGACTACATGGACTGTCTCTGCCAAACCTGCACCGAAGCTCGAATGACTCACATCATCTCAAGGCGCCCGGCTGAGAGCCGTGCACAACGACCATTCTATCGAATTGCGATAGACCTGATCTACATTATCCCTGTGGGAGAGGAGTGTATCAACGGCAGCAAGTACGCCCTCCACTCTATGGACGAATACTCAAAGTGGCATGAAATAGCCACAATCAAGCGAAAGGACAAGCCAACGCTCACACGCTGGTTCATGGCCTCTCCGTATGAACAGCTGCGCGTATGGCCCCGGAGGGGGCATCTGCGCGCGAACCCTGCCACCTGATTGGCTAGCTAGCCCTCGCCTCACGAAAACCCGCCAGGCCTGGGGCCATCTGCGCGGGGCCATCTGCGCGCGATCGAACCCTGCAACCCTGATTGGCTAGCTAGCCCTCGCCTCACGAAAACCCGCCAGGCCCAGGGCCATCTGCGC